GATTCTCACAAGTGAGAATTGAGGACAAGGCAGCAATTTGTCTACGAATAGTATTATAGGCCAGGCCTTTGTTCAGACCCTCTAAGAGGAAATCTAACACAATAGGAATGGATACTGCCAATGGATCCAACTTCCGGGAGGCGCACCAAGTGCAGAAATGCCGCCATGTGGCGTCATAAATTCTGTTAGTCGAAGGACGCCTAGAGGCCTGAATTACCGCTATGACGTCCTGGGAAAACGACTGCCTGGCTAAATTCTCCCGCTCAAGTGCCAAGCGGCTAACTGTAGCCACTGCGGATCCGGGTGTTGTAACTGACCCTGACTGAGACCGACTAGAGTTGGAGGTATCTTCCATGGTGGGGAGACTGACAGATCCACGAGGTCTGCAAACCAAGGTCTCCGTGGCCAGTGAGGAACCACCAGAACTAATTCCGCCTGTTCCAACAGCAGTTTCCTGATGACAGCCTGAATCAGAGGGAGAGGGGGGAATGCATACAGGAGTCCCTTGGGCCAAGGACTGTGAAGTGCATCTGTCCCCTCCGCCCCCCGCGATGGAAACCTCGTGAAAAATCTGGGCAGTTGCGTGTTTGCCGACGAGGCAAATAGGTCCACTTGAGGGAGGCCGAACCTCTCCACTATTCTCTTGAAAAGGGAAGGATCTAGGCGCCACTCTGAGTGGTCTATCAATACCCTGCTCAAAGAATCGGCCTGGCGATTCGCCTCCCCGGAGATGTGTTCTGCGCAAATGGATGCCAGATTGGACTCGGCCCACAGGCCCAGGGACAGAGCCTCCTGCATGAGTGTCCAGGATCTGGTTCCCCCCTGCCTGTTGACATGGGCCTTGGTTGCGACATTGTCCGTCATTACAAGGACGTGTCCTCCCGCTACTATGCTGGCAAATTGGCGTAGAGCCAGGTGTACAGCCCTGAGCTCCAGCCAATTGATGTTGTGAGTGAGGTCGGATTGGTTCCACTGTCCCTGTGCCATGTGAGTCTGCATGTGTGCCCCCCAGCCGAACAAGCTGGCGTCCGTTGTCAGGACGAGTCTGTGAGGCTCCTTGAACAGTGAACCCTTGTGAATGGCTGGTGACATCCACCAGCGTAGTGACCTCAGAACGTGATGAGGAACCCTCACCCTCCGTATGGAGGAACTCATGTTCTTCCTCTGGAAAGGCAGCAGGAACCACTGTAGGTGTCTGGAGTGAAGTCGTGCCCAAGGCACTATACCTAGGCACGAGATCATTTTCCCCAATAACTGAGACAGCTGGACTAGTGGAACCATCTTGCTTTTTTGAATACTGCCAATCAAAGACTTGATGCTGGCCTTGCGTTCCTGCGATAGATATACCATGCACAGGTTCGAATCTATTACCGCCCCCAAATGTAGAATCCGAGTGGTCGGAATTGTGTGACTTTTTTTGAAATTCACGGAGAAGCCGTGTCTCTGCAGGGTCTGAATTGTGACAAGTAGGTCCAGTTGTGCTGACCGGAATGACCTGGACTGGACGATGATGTCGTCCAGGTAACACTGTACCCGTACCGGTATCAGCCTGAGATGTGCTGCCAATACCGCCAGTAGCTTTGTGAACACGCGAGGGGCAGAAGAGAGCCCAAAGGGCAGAGCCCGGTACTGGTAATGCCTGTGCCCATGGCAAAACCTGAGGAACCGGCGGTGGTGTGGTCTGATTGGGACGTGAAGATAAGCCTCTGTCAAATCTATGGAAGAGAGATAATCTCCCTTCCTGATACTGGCCAGGATGGATCTGAGGGACTGCATTTTGAACCGCCTGTAGGCTATGAAATGGTTCAGTCCCTTCAGGTCCAAGATGGCTCTCCAACCTCCCGATGCCTTGGGGACCACAAAGAGGATGGAGTAAA